ATGTTCTAAATTTTTTTTGTTCTGGATGGCACTTCACTCAATCTATTCTACTACATTTACTGCTCACAATGTGGTCTCCTCTACATTGGGGAAACAAAGCATAGACTGGGTGACTGCTTTGCAGAACACCTAGGTAATGTCCGCAAAAAAGACCCTGAGCTTCCAGCTGCCTACCACTTCAACATGCCACCTTGTTCCGTGGCCAACATCTTTGTCTCAGGCTTGCTGCAGTGCTCCAGCGAAGCTCAACTCAAGCGGGAAGAACAGCACCTCATTTTCCGCTTGGACCTCTTACAACCTTCTAGATTCAATACTAAGTTTAACAATTTTAAACCTTGAGGCACCTTCTCCCATGTTCTTATCCCAATTCCCACACATCAGGTCTTGTTACCACATGGTCTGCTATTACACACAACCCATTGTTAGCCATTAATAGTCCCTATTAATAGTTTTTATTCTCATTGGCTGATCATTATCCACTCCTTCGTCCAACCGTTCTTCTGTGTCATTGCGCTTTATCTCCACAAATTGTTTACCCTTTACCCCCTCCCCTCACCCTATCTTCAAGGTAAAAAACAACTATTTCCTAGCTACCATCAATTCTGAGGAAGGGTCACTGCACCTGAAAGGCTAACTTCAATTTCTGTCCACGGATGCTACTAGATCTGCTCAACTTTTCCAACAATTTCTGGTTTTGTTTCTAATTTCCAGCCTCCGCAGTTCTTTCAGTTTTTAATCACTTATTGAGTGTGTACTATAGATCACTAAACAGTCAAGGAGCTTTAAAAGGGCAGATATCAAGGCAAACGTCAGTGGAGTGTGAAAATAATAGGGTAATAAGATTTCAACTTCCCCAACATTAACTGGTATAGGCAAAGTGTGAAAAGCTTAGATGGGCCAGAATTCTTGGAATTTGTACAGGAGATGTCTTTAAACCAATATGTAGGTAAATCCTCCCAAGGGAGTAGTTGGTCCTGGATCTAATTTTGGAGCATGAAGCTGGGTAAGTGGTAGAATTGAGGAGCATCATAATTAAGATTTAAGGTACAAGTAGTTACCGAAAAGGACAAGATTGGACCAGAAGTAAAGGCCCTGAATTGGGGGAAGGCTGATTTTAATAAAATAACACCGGAACTGGCCAGAGTGGACTAGGATCGGCAACTTGTAGGAAAATCCACATTAGAAAAGTGGAAGTCATTTAAAAAGGAAGTAGTGAGTGTGCAAGGTCAACATTTTCCTGTAAACGTGAATGGGAGCAAACAAATCCAAGGAGCCTCAAATGCTAAGGAATGAACAGGATTTGATAGAAAATAAAAGGGAAACTTAAGGTGGCTAAGAACAGGAGAACCCCAAAGAATTATCAAAACTGTAGAGGGTTATGGTTGTTCCTTTATATCTGTAAGGTTTTGTTCCTGAAAACCCCTGCGAGTGATTAATTGGGTAAAGCTCAGTAAAAATAGGGTTAAAATGGTTCAAAATATCACAGATACACAGTTTTTACCTGCGGATGTTGCTTTTTGATGTTACCTTTTTATGGCATGGATAGGCAAATTCACAAAAACTGATTTCATGTACACAGAGGAATAACTGTACTAAAAAAGAAATTAGGACAGTGAAGAGAGGACATGAAAAATCACTGGCTGGTTAAATAAAGGATAATCTGAAGGCATTTTATAAGAAAATTAGAGAAAAGAACTCAACCAGGGAAAGAGTGGGAGGTATTAGGGACTAAGGTGGAAGTCTTTGTATGGATCCAGAAGAGGTAGGTTAGCTTTTAGATAATTATTTTGTATTTAAATACATTATCAACGAGAACGATACAGGTATAGAAATCACAGAGGACAACTGTGATAAACTTGAACAAATTAGCATTGAAAGAGAGAAGGTTTTACCAGTTTAGTGGGCTTAAAATTGAATAAATTGACACAGTGGGTCAAATGGCCTAGTTCTGTACTGTAAAATTCTATGAATCTAAATTCCCAGGGTCAGATGAGATGCATCTTAGATTGTTTGCAAGGCTCTTAACATTAATTTTCAAATCTTTTCTATACACATGAGTGGTGTTGGAGGATTGGAAGGTAGTTAATTGGTAACATCATTCAAGAAAGGTGGTGGGGATAAACCAGGGTGCTGTATGCCAGTGAGTCTAACATCAGTAAATGGGAAGCTTTTGGAAAAAAAATTGGAGGAATGGAATTTACCCCAACTTGGAAAGACAAAGATGAATCAAGAATAATCAATATGGTTTTGTCAGGGTGAGATCATATCTGAAAAATTTGGTTGACTCTTTTGACTGTGCCAAGCAAAAGACACAGTTTGATACACGGGTGAAATTTAGTATATTTACTATGTACAATCATGGAAATGGCCCCACGTGTGTAAAGGCATGGTTGATGCGAGGTGAGGACCAGTGGCATATAAAATTTGTGTAGGTGCAATGGTCCTGAACAAGCATATGGACCATTTGAAAGTCGCAACTTCACAAACAGTGCTGGAGCAAAACATGCCTTGCACCTTGTTACAGTCAGAAAGGCTGCCAGAACCCGTGAATTCGCCTTCTCCATCAGGCACTGAAGAGTTCGCAGAATCAGAAGTGGACATGATGGATGTCGCCACCTTGGCGCATTAGCTGCCAGAAGAAGAGTGAAATTTCTGTGCGTTACATGCCACCTGTTTCGGGCGCCAAGTCAGAGGAACCCGACCCAGTGCTAAAATGCCTCAGGAGGCTCTCCAAGAAAAAGGACTGGCCTATGTCCTTGGACTCAGAGGGGGAAATGTAGTATTTGTAACGGAGTTAGCCAGCTGGACCTCATAGAATATGAGTTCATTGATTGGGGCCATTAATCTGGTCCAGTGAGGCTGGATTGGCCCTGGCTGACATATAAAAAGAGGAGTGTAGGAGATACTGCTACTCCGATAGCTGACTCTGAAGAGACACTACTAAAGTCAGGGACCGTTCTTGTGTAAATAAAGGGTGACTTGGTGACGGGATACCGACCTCTATGGAGTTATTTCACTTAGGATCAAGGACAATTTGGCAAATTAGATCCATAATTGCCTTAGTGGCAGGAGGCAAAGAATACTGGTTAAAGATTGTTTGAGGCCTATTTCCAATGGTGTACCACAGGCTTTGGTGCTAGATTTGTTGCTGTTTGTAGTAAATGTTAATGATATCAACATGAATATATGAGGTTTTATCTGAAAGTTTGCAGATGATGCAAAAGTTGGCTGAGTGGTAGATAGTGAGGAGAAAAGTTTTAGACTGCAGCAAGATATAGATAGACTGGTAAGATGGGCAAATGGGGTTTAAATCTGAAAAATGTGAAGGGATATAATTTGGGAGGACTAATAGAGTACATGATGAATGGTGATACCCTTGCTAGTACAGAGGATCAGTGAGACTTTGATATTCATGTATATTAATCCTCAAAGACAGCAGAACAGGTGGATAGGATGGTTATGAAGGCATATAGGATACTTGACTTAATTAGTTGAGGTAAGGAATACAAGAGCTGGGATGTTACGCTGGCAAATTTAGGATGTTGATTAGGCCACAAATGGAATACTGTGTGCAGTTCTGGCGGCCACACTGCAGGAATAATGCATTTGTACTGTAGAACGTGCAGAGGAGATTGATAAGCATGTTGCTCAAGCTGGAATGTTTGAACTATGAAGAGAAAGTAGATAAACTGGGATTGTTTTCCTGAAAGCAGAGAAGACTGAGATGGAGGACCTCACAGAGTTCTACAAAATTCAGCAGCCTAGATAGGGTCAATATGAATAAACTTTTCCCTTACTGAAGGGTTATTTACAGGGGGCGTGGATTTAAAGTAAGGGATTTCAGGTTTAGAAGAGATTTAAGGAGAAAGTTTCATCCAGGGGGTAGCAGGAACTATTACATGAAGAAGTATTTAGCTGAACACTTGAAATGTATCAACATTCGAGGCTGCAGGCCAAGTGCTGAGAAATGGAATAAGACTAGATAGGTGCTTGATGATTAGCATGGATGCAAGCGGCTGAAGGGCATCTTTCTGTGCTGGATGTTTCTATTACTAATAACATCCCAAAGGGATCCCTCTTACAAAGGCACACAGCTTCAGATTGCAGAACCAGGGTCAGGAAGGGAGGTGTCCACTGAGTGTGACTCCACCTTACTCTTGGAAGTGACCCACCTCTTATTGAAAGTCACCTCCCTGCAGCTGCTGTCCCGTCAATGCTCAGCTGTATTTTTGCATTCAACAAAGATCCTTGTTGAAGGCCCCAATGCAATATCACCAGCAGCCACCACTCTTGGTAGCTTTTGGGAGTGGGATTAGACCCAGCTAGGGACTTTATCTGTGGAGAGTCTCAATGCCACATGATTGCACTTAAGATGATGTGCTTTTCCCATCTGTTCTCTCACTGGTGGTCTGATCCTGCAATAAAATCCACTGTTTTCCTATCAGTATGTTTTTTTTTCCCCAGCTGCCTTTATACGAATTATCATGATTCCATTGAAGTTCACTATCATGTCACTTTTCTATAGGTGAATTTGAATCGTCCTTGAGAATATTGTTTTAATATATACACTTTGCACAGTCATATTTATCATTTATTATGTCAAATGATAAAACAATTTTAGTGTCATTTACCCCAAAATTCCTGTCAGGTCAATATTATACTTAAACACTAAAATGTCTTCAGTATTGGAAAAATACTGCAAATAGTAAGTTTGTAATCTTGTGTTAGGGAGCCTTTGATGGGAGAAGGGTTTCCTCCTTCAAAAGGGAAAGAAAATTCAAAGAAATGTCACCTCTGCATTTTGATCCATCCCATCTTGTGATTGAGGTGGAGTGGGGGGAAGAGGATTATAGACATACTTTAGCAGGTTATTGGAATGTACTTCAATCAACATCTGGGTAGCCACAAGGGTATTTAATGACTGGAAGGATCAGAAGAAAGTAGAAATGTTTTAAATTGAGGGAAATTTCTAAAATACTCAAGTTGTTATTGTTTTCCAGATGTTTTTGGAGAAGCAGTGGACTACAGTGATGTAGTTACAATAATCATGGAAATCAACAAAGATCTGGGTAAGAAAATTTCAGGTTTATAATATTGTATAAATGTTATTCCTAAATTTATTTAGATGTTTTCAGGCTATGATATAATGCAGCGATTGACACTGGTTAAAAACTGATGAGAAACTAGATGTTTCAAACCTGAGCCTAGATTTAATGCAGCTTAAAATGGTGGGAAAATGGTGACCAGACTCATGTAATCATATGAATGACTGAATCAGTCTCCTGGCAGTGGCAAAATCACCTCCAATTAATTTAGAAGGTGGGAAATTGCTGACACAGATCCATCATCCCTGAATACACGACAGTTTAGGGGTGGCTCAGGAATTAAATTGACAACACATGACTTTAGGAAATTGTGCAGGGTGGCCTACTGATTTACCAGTAAGATCTCAGGAGGTCCTCTGTAGTAAGGCATTCTGTGCCTAGTTAGACATTTGTGGGGAGAAGTGTCAGGTTCTGATTTACTTCATAAGTCCTTTTACGTGCTCAGGCATCTTTAGCTGCGGCCACATGTGATCCAGAGCCTGTGGTTAGTGCATTGCTGCCAAAAGCTACTGCTACTCCTGGCAATTAGAGCAATGGTAGGAATGTTGATAGCAGCAGCTGTCAACAAGTAGATTTTCCACTATCGTCGGGGATCTTGATCATTGGAAAGACCTAATCTCCTCTGAACTGAACAAAAGTTGCTTCCAGTTCTCACATCTTAGCCTCAGTCAACCTGAAAATGTCCCAGCCATGGTGTATCACTGGAAATTCAAATATCCAGCGGAAGAAGGTTTTGAATCTAGCCCAAGTATGCAAGTTCTAGTTTGGTGTCTGGTTTGTTTTTAATTAATTATTTGAGAAAAATTTGTCCTCTAATTCCATTATACTCTCTTTCTTATTCCTTGCTCATAATTCATTTCTCCCTTTGGATTTGATTTTCCATGGTGGTAATGGATGACAGTGGAGCATTCTGTGCATGCCAACATGTTGAATGTTCAATTTTGTCAAGTCCTCCGGAACCACAATTAATTGCAAATAAAAAGGCATGATCTCATTAATTTCCCATTCAGAAGCCGTTTTCTAAATCAGGTGTTGAATCTCTCTGCAAAACAATGCATTGAGCATTTAAAGGAGGAAGATGTATTTATGGCAAATCTTTGGAATTTGTAATGTTTGTTTACATTTGTTAAACTAGTAAAGCATTCATAAGAATACACGCACACAATAAACCGGTGCTGCAGAGAAAAGGATATGGAGGTTTTTTGGGAATTCTGTGCTGAGAAAGGATTCACATAATATAGTAATTTAGTCTGCCCTATCTGGACTGATAGTGTCATTAATTGTACAGAAGGAGGCTGTTTGGACCATTGAGTCCATGTGGCACTCGAAAGAAATCCTCTGATGCTGCCTGGCCTGCTGTGTTCCTCCAGCTTCACACTGTGTTATCTCTGACTCCAGCATCTGCAGTTCTTACTGTCTCTCACTCAGTCCAGTTCCCGTGCTGCATTCCCCATAGCCTTATTCCCATATTTGCCTTTGAAGTCATTGATTTCTGCTTCCACTACCTGAATTGGTCGGAGTGTATGAACTCCTACCACAGTTCTACTGGAGATTTACCCTCTGGTAGTTGCTCCCAGTCTACTTTGGCCAGATCCTGCCTTAATTTGATAAAATCTGCCTTCCCCCAATCCAAAAAGGTTTTTTTTGCAGACCATCTTTGTTCTTTTCCATAACAATCTTAAAAAGTATGGGAATAAAAACCGAAAGAACTGCAGACGCTGTAAATCAGGAACAAAAACAGGAGTTGCTGGAAAAGCTCAGCAGGTCTGGCAGCATCGGTGAAGAAAAAAATCAGAGT